TATCATTGCGGTAGAAATTGTACATGCCAAAGTTTTGGCGCGCCGATGAGTTTGGGCCTAAGGAAGTTCAAAAATGAAAACAGCTTCTTCCAACATGCACAACAATTAAATAAATAACAATGACAGCTTCGACAATGGCGGACACTGCACTCAACTCTGCTGCCATTAACGAGGTCTCTGATGTCCTCAAAGACAAACTAATCGATGCCGAATACAAGATTTGGAAGAAGAATACTCCTTACTTGTGAGTAGCCTAGTGAGCACCAAGCAACCGAAGCAAGAACCTACTGGCTGCATTCTGGATGAAACACAGACCACATGTGTCTTGTCGGTGTCTTGAAACACAATCAATGAATCGTCCAACTGTCCATGTCTCACCGTACCTCTCTTCTTGTCTTTTCTTCTTTTCTTCTATTTTCATCTTTCTCTCTCTCACAGGTACGATGTCGTCATGACACATGCTCTCGAATGGCCCAGTTTGACTTGTGAATGGTTGCCCACCGTCAAGAGTGCTGGACCCAAAACCAACGAACATTCTCTTTTGATTGGAACCCACACGGCCGGAGACGAACAAAATTATTTAATGGTGGCTTCTTGCAACTTGCCAAAAGACGATGTGGTGATTGACAATCGGACTCAAAAGGATGACGGTGGCGACGACGAGGAGGCCGAGCAGGAAGGAGAAAATAGCGAACCCAAGGCTACCGCTGCAACTAGCGAAGCCAAAGCTGCGGCTGCCTACAATGAAGAAAAGGGCGAAGTCGGTGGATTTGGACACGCCTCCTCTAATATTGGAAAGATTGAAATTCGCATGAAGGTCAAACATCAAGGAGAAGTCAATCGGGCTCGGCACATGCCTCAAAATCATTTCTTTGTGGCCACTCGTGGTCCTGGAGCCGAATTGTATGTCTTTGATTTGTCCAAACATCCTTCCTTTCCTGCTGAGGATTCCGTCTTTTCGCCTCAAGTCGTTTGCTGCGGTCACACCCTCGAAGGTTATGCCATGGAATGGTCTCGCCTGACAAAAGGACACCTTTTGTCTGGAAGTGAAGATACCAATGTTTGTCTTTTTGATATCAACTCCAATGGTTCCAATGAAAAGGCTGGCCGACAAGTCAAGCCATTGTCTACCTTCAAGGGACACACCAAGGTGGTGGAAGATGTCGACTGGCACTGCAAGGATCCCCACATGTGTGCGTCGGTGTCAGACGACCGCACCATTCGCATTTGGGATACTCGTGATCCCACCAAGGCCATGCATGTTGTGGAAAGCAAACACGAGGGCGATATCAACAGCATTGCTTTCAATCCAGTGAACGAATTCCTCTTTGCGACGGGGTCGGCCGATTCGACTGTGGCCTTGTGGGATTTGCGGAATTTGGAAAAACGCACCCAAACGTTGTCGGGACATACCGATCAGGTGTACATGGTCAACTGGGCTCCCCATGATGAATCCGTCTTGGCGTCTTGCAGTGCCGATCGACGAGTGGGTCTCTGGGATTTATCGCGCATTGGTGCCGAACAAAGTCCAGAAGATGCTGAAGATGGACCACCGGAATTGCTCTTTTTGCATGGAGGACACACGGCCAACGTCTCTGATTTTTCGTGGAATGCCAAAGATCCTTGGACCATTGCCAGTGTATCTGACGATAATGTGCTACAAGTATGGCATCCAGCAGAAGAAATCTATGCTGGTGAGGAGGAAGAATACGATAGTACTGGAGAAGGGGAAGACAAAATGCTAGGGGATGATGACTTGGAGTAGAAAGAATGAATGAAAATAGAGGCCATCACTTTTTATTTTTGTGAAATTGTTATCTATTTTATAAGAATAGTACAGTATTATTTCATAGTCATAGTCTTGTTGTCGTGGGCATTGCCATATTGTACAATGCATCATGTTGTACAATGCATAGAACCATAGTCGTTTAGGATAGAACTCCTCCCAAGGATATCGAAAAGGGCATTTTGGTTCCATTGACGATTGCATAACAATCCTCCTTATTGCTGCTGCCCCCCATCTTTTGTGGATGCTGTTTCTCCAATTGAACCCGGTGCAGGTCTCGCTTGTGGTTGTCCCTCAACCAATCCAAATGATGACTCGATCCTCTTCCGGTTGCGACCATGGTAATGGAGCAATCGTGCAAGAGCCGTAGTACTTGTCGTCGAATTTCGGGTTGTTTGGAAGCATCGTCATCATCATTGTTGTTATTATTATTGTTGGTATAGAATCCATCCCATAGAAGCAAGGTAGGGTGCTGCTGATTAGTGGTTGTAGTATCATCCTTTAGTTTACATCGTAGACTAAACACGAAGAAATGAGATGACAACGATGATGATTCATGGATCGAATGGTGGATGAGATTCTAGTATTCCAAAATGCAAATCACAAGTCAATGGACGAACGAATCAATCAATCAAACTCACCATTCTAATATTGGGACCCATGCATCTTGTACTTCATCGACGGTTGCCAAATGGATCCGCCGCAAACAGCCTTCGACATGTCCTTCCAAGGTCTCTTCTGTCACGGCATGAAACGATGGCTCGCGCAAGAGTGTGGATCGAACCATGTAGGCCAATTTGGAAATGGTCAAATCCCAATTGGAATCCAATAATATGACTTGAGGCTGTTGAGATGATGATGATGATGATGATTTGGAATTGTTGTTGGATGTTTTAGTAGACGTTGGTGACGTTGGCGTTTCGGCTTCTTCCATGACTTGATCCTCATTGACATCCTCATTGACATCTTCATTGGCATCATTCTTGTCAAATCGAGAGGCTCGTGTCACTACGACAAATCGTGCTGCCAAGGAAAGAAGGGACCATGTTTTCCCAATGGATCCTTCTAATATGACCACCGGGTAATTATGAACATATCCATGATTTGCAGAATGTTGTACATGTTGGGTAGCAGGATGAAATGAGGACAATGATGAGGATGAGGACGGAGTCCTCCACGCCGCATCCAGTGGCGCAAACCCACTTGCTCCCCGTACAAAGGCTGACGCTGCCGAAGATGGGTCTGTAGGAATTTGGGCAGCTGCTCGTTGACGTTGACTCCGACGATACCAGTCCAATGCCGTCTCGGTTGTCGCAACCATAATGATGATGAGAGGGAGACAAAAGTTGTTGCAGGTTTTATTGGAAGCATGTTCAACGAAATGAAAAAGGGGAGGGGTGAAAGAGATTTTGGTGTGAAACATGGGGCGAACGAACGTCTGTCGTCAAACATCCAACATCCGCACTTTTCATTTTTGAATTTTTAATGTGAACAAAATCCATAGGGCACCAAGTTGAGAGAGTACAATCATCGTCAAAAAGCATACATGTGGTCCATGCATTGGCAATGAAACTCCTAGGGCGGAATACTTCGCTTCGCGTTTTCATTCAAGCTGTGATCATTTGGGTTTTGTTTGAACAAGTCAGAGTGTTCTTTCGTCTCGATGATCCATCTTCCAATACATCATCCTCCGGAACTCCATCAACTTGGCTACCAGAACATAATGTCTTGAAACTTCTGGACGATTACAAGAAAGCGCATAACGTCGATACCTTGAACGCAGCAGCAGCAGCAGCAGCGGATGCCTCCAATAACACTAGAGTCTACGTGGTGGGACAATATTCGTGTCCTTTTCAAGCGGGCAATCGCATTTTTCATTTCCTCAATGCCTTTGTCCACGCGGTGATACTCGACAAGCCTCTGGTGTGGAAATATTGCACCACGAACAGAATTTGTCCCCGTCACGGCAAGGTGGAGGATTGCAATCAAGTTCTAAATCGAGCGGATTGGATCCCCTCCTATCAGGCGTTTGTACTAGGAAGTGCAAATAACCCCAAAACGGAATTGTTGCATGGGCGGGGACGGCATTTGAAACGAGAGGACATTTTAAATGTTTCCAAACGAGAAATTGCCTTGGATCAATTGCGTTATCCTGATGCAACAGATGTGGTCTTAGAAACCAGGATTCTGGAACGCCCGTTTCTAGGAGCCTGGCTCACCGCACCAGAAATCCGAGAAAAGAATATACTCTCGTTGGAAGCATATGCAAGGGCCAGAATGCTATTTGCGGCTGGCAGTGACTTTGCCTACGGAGCTCTCTTTCATGTTGCCTTTCAGATTGATCCATCGATATTGCCAGAAGACGAATCCCTTGCCAAACTAAAACTGGAACATCCATACAGTACCTCGTTGGCAATGCATTCGCGACATCAGCAAAAACTGGACCCAGGAAACGATACGTCCACAGAAGAACTGTGCTTGAAAAAAGCATATCAAATGACAAGGAAAAGTAGTGGGTTTCTTCATGCTCCTCCACCATGTGCCATGGTGCTCATGTCCGACCGATCTGTGACACTGGACGGTCTACAACAAACGAGACCCTCGGGGTGTACTCCCGTTCTCGCGACGCACCAAAAGGGCCAGTCCTTCAGATCTGAGCACGGCGAATTTGCAGGAGCTGGTTTCTTTCAAGATTTGGCGTTGGCCCAACATGCAAAAGATGCCGTGGTATTGACCTACCGAAGTTCCGCCTCGGAATTGATGCGAACGGTTTGGAGGTATCAGCGATTCATGACCAACCAAACGGGAAAGATTGTGGCTTGCACCATTCGGGATCCCAATGGTACACAATGCGATTGTACAAGTGAGAGAATAGGACCGAGATAAACTTGTGTTCTATTATCGTTTGATAGAAGTATGGCTCTATTACCAATAATCGATCAACCAACCAACCAATCAATCAGTGCTAGCAAACCGTGTCAGAACGTTGCACAAAATAGTTGCAATCTCATTTTCGAATCTGTTGTGAGGTAAACTTCCACAAAAGGTGATGGATCCAACGGAAAAGACTTGGGACCCACCAGCATCATCATCGTCAGGAGATTGAGTAGAGGACGAGCCAACACTCGGTACAGAACGTTTCAAGCGAAAGTAGATCATGTCGGCTCGCTTTGCTTCTGCTTCTGTCAATCCAGACGTGTTCGAGTAAGTCGTCAAGACCTCTTCCGGTACCAGGATAAAGTCTGGTTCTTGTCCATGTGATTGCGCAACAATGGTAATTGGAACACTGAATCGCGAAGCTTCCAATCCGTCCAAGCCTCGGTCGACCCGATCCAATTCAAATCCTGCAGCACCTCCACCGCTCAAGCCAAAGTCTCCCAGGATGGTTTGATCGGTGGGAATCCCCTCCAAAATCCAATGCAGGCTTGGATCCAGTGACAAGTTTCGCTGGAAGGGCATTCCTTGAAAGGGTCCCTGAGAAGAAAATCCAATGCCCACTAATTTCTGTGGCGGCCTCCCATTGCGGCGCCATAATCCACCATAGGTACATTTTTCCTCCAGGGCATGATAATATTCTCCTGGCTCGCACGCCCAGGTTCGTACACCATCTTCGGCACGACGAATCTCTAATAAATGTACCGAATTGCTGTCGTCGTCGTCGTCGTCTTTGTGGTCTTGGCCACTGGACAACCATGGTGGGGTAGGTACCTCTGACGCTCCTATTCGCCAGTAGAAACCATTCCCACCCAGATAAATAATGTTTCCATTACATTTGTCCCGAAAGTCGTTGATGGCAGACAAACTACCAAGAGTGTGATATTCGGGATGTGTTCCAGTCATGAGGGTTTCGTAGTCTTGTAGACAAGAAACACCTTCAGAATGAAGTTCATGGTCTGTAATGATATCGTAATCAAAGGGACAACTGGTAGCGCCGTCGTTGCTGTGGCGCTGTTGTTGTTGCTGTTGTTGTTGGAAATGGAGAAAGGCAATTAGGTGACTATCTGCTTGGAAATGACGCAGTCCCGAGCAAGAAGTATGAGGTAAACTAATGTATCCTGGTCGAGTTGTAAAGAGAGGCCGACGATGAGATGCGTAGTGGATGCCAGAACCATCGGAATGAAAATTGTAGGTCGACTGGCGGTAGGAAGGATGCTGGAACGCATTGTGAGGGTAGACAGTCGCAGACGACTTATAGCCATCCTCTTGTCGTATCCGATCAAAAGCTTGTTCATCGAAATCGGATCGACCATGATTGCCATACATGACATAGGTAAAGGTAGAAACCAAGACACATAGTTTGGCAGATGGTTTTTTGGCGCAAACGAAAATGGGGAGCGATTCTCGATGAACCACCGTGTCCTCGGACGCTGATTCTTCATCTATTGCAGTCGTGGTCGTCGTCGTCGTCGTCAAGTGCAAGACGTAGATTCCAGAGGGTGTGTTGTCAGGAATCTTCCATTTCAAGTCAGGCTCCCACTCGAAGTCGTAGCCATCATCTTCATGAAAGTAGATGGCTCCATAATGAGACGGTTCATGTTTCCAGCAATGCTCAGTTCCATCCCACAAGTGTCCTGTCATTCCACGCGTCGGCTGATGATGGAGGACCAAATCAAATCTATTATCATCCATGTCATCCATAACTTGAGATTGCGCTGGAATGACCCAACCTGCCATGTTCTGCCAGGTCTCCCATTCGATCCAAACGTCGTCTCCGTGTTGTCCATTCTTGAGCAGTATACGAGGATGTTCCAACCTTCCATTCCAGGTACCCTGTGTGGCCAGGGAAAACCTTCCAGCGAAATTATTGTCATTATTAGTTTCAGAATATGGATGTATCTCATTACAGACGATCCGCCCATCACGGTCATCCATAATAACCTTGAGTTGGATCGTACGGTCGGACCGGTTTCGAACGAGACAGATTTGATACCATTTTCGAATGGACAGCGCATAGGATTCGAAGACCAGCGATCCAAATTGTAATTTTCCATTTTGGTTCATGGATAACCCAAAGTCTTTTCCCCAAGTCCAGATATATTGACGATCTACCAGGGTGGATTGCAGCAGAGTTGGATACACCCAGATGTCAATGGACACGACCGATGATTCGTCTTGCGGTAATGAAATGCTCTCCTTGGTGGCTGCAAACGATCCACAGGGAATTGGTTGATGTCGACCTTGAAATTGGGTAGGCGGAAACCACTGGGAGGCATCTTCTTCTAGAATCCCAGGTCCTTTTGGGTTTGGATCCGCACAGATGGATCGCACCAGTCGTGTGTGGATGGGTGTGTTGCTATTGGATTGACAAGACACATGGAACTGTATGGTATCTCCTGGGCGACCAGATAACTTGTTGGTGTATGCGGCTAGGAACACCTCATCTTTTCGTGCTTTTGGAGTTGCAGGGTGGTCCACCATGTTGCTGTCGTTGAGTTGTTGATATGATACCATACTGTATGGTGTCGATCTCGTCGTCATCAATAAATCTTTCGTTTCATTCTTTTTTCCAAGATCTCCGAACTTGTCATTGAACTCGGAGAGGTCCAAGACATCAGGTCGGATCAGTCAATTAGACCCGCACGAATAATGATACCATTGACATTGATATTTGTTCGTTGCGGTACAATAGCACAAAAACAGTGTCAAAGGAACAAAAGCGATGAGAGCCCCTTTGAAAAAGTTGCCACGGACGTGACACTTTCTTGAACGGTACAACAAAAGAGAGAAGCCGCAACGATGCCAATCAACGACCGAATAATGTTCTTGGTGATGATTCTTCTCCTGGGATTATTGGTGTGTCGGACTACTAATGGACTGGCATTCCAACAAACAGATGTATCCAAGATTCTTCGTCAACAACATCGACCACACACTTCACGGATGCTCACGACAGGGCCTCAAAGTCAACTGCATTTCAAGAAGAAGAACGATAACGATAACCGCCTCAGGAACATTCAAGGAGACGATCCTAGCCTCCGTTTTAATCGCACTGCCACTTCCACCCAATCCATAGACGACCCGTGCATTTTGACAATTCAAGGCAACCAGTACAACATGACTGCTTGGGCCAAGGCACATCCAGGAGGAAGTGCCATCCTACAAAGATTTCACAACCAAGATGCCACCGAGGCGTTTTATGCGACGGGACACAGTCAGGGGGCTATTGATATGCTACAGGATTTTCTCATCATTGATGATGATGATGATGAGGAGGAGGAAGAGGTCAAACATAAGAACACCGAAAAGGAAAAGGAAATTTCATCAACAACCGATAAGACCATCTTGTCAACAAAGACGATTACAACCAAACCCAAAAGTCGATTGGCAAGGATTCGCACTAAACTATTCACCAAGGAAGATCCCATTGGTATTCACAAGTATGCAGGTCTCTTTTGTCTATTTCATTTTGCTTTTCGCTACCTGCAAACATGGTTTGGAGATCCAAGCGCCGGATTTGGCACTCGACAAGGCCTTGGATCGAGTCCCTTGCCTCTACTGTGTTTGATTCCACACACGTTGCTATCTCTGTCATCCCTTTTGTTTCACACGGTCCCTCGAGAACGAATTGTCGGTCGGCCCATGATTTGGCAAGAGTTTCGGGCCCACAATATTATTTTTGGAATCCGGTCCATTCTTGCGACACTTGCAGCATGGACGGCCATTCGATTTCCTCAAACTCGAACATTGGTCACCTGCTTCAGCTGTGGAGTAGTCTTGCTGAGCATGTACTTGGCCAATATGGCCACGGAACAACTCCGGGACAATAGTCTGGAATCCACCACGGCTACCATGCCATACTGGGAGGGCTGCTCGGTGAAAACCCAGCGCCACATCAAAATATTTTATGCCCTGTGTCAATTCATGGCAACTATGGCCTGCTGTATAACTTGGAACCCAGCTTGGCCACTCGTATGTCTATTTCCGATTCAAATTGCCAGTTTGCTCATGACCTTGGTGCGGAAGGGACTCTTGAGTACCAAAGGCTATCATTTGGCATATGGACTTTCTCTTTGCTTGCCTTTCTTGACGATATTGCGAACGACCATTGCGGTGCGGTCGTGGGAAGTTCCAGCTCTTTCAGCGATGGCATTCA